TCTTGTTCCAAATGAATTTTTGGATTGTTTTCTCAAGGTCTATGAAGTATGCTGCTGGGATTTCAATTGGGATTGCATTAAATCTATACAGCAATTTTGAAAGTATAGCCATTTAGAAAGCCTCCTAATTATGCTGATATTTTAATTGCACCAAATTTTACCTTTTGTGCAGTTTCAATCATTATTTTACAATTCATTTTTTTGTTTTTAAATTTAGAACAGCCTTCTCTATGAGAAAATAATTAAGTGTTCCTCATATTTTCTTCTGGTATTTATGGTTTCATTGTTTACATTTAATTTTATCCATGTAGCAAAACAGACAAGGAAGAAAATATAGTGAGGTAAACTGACTATTGCAGCAAAATATATTTTTCACTTTTCAAAATCTAATTCTCAGGTATGTATTATGACCTCCCACATAGAAGCACTTTGGTCAACTTCTGTCTTCTTTAACCCAGATCAACTCAGTCACTGCTATTAATACAGTTTGTATTTGATTGACTGAAAAATGTAGAGTTCCTGTTCTAATCCTGTCCTGGGCTTTAAGAACATCAGGATATAATATAGCTTTATCCATGTCACCATTATCCTAGTGGCTAATAGCCCTGCAGTAACTCTGGTACCACATACCATATTTCTCCTAACCTCTGCCATGTTAGCTTAATACAGGAGATTAAATGTTTGCTTTACTTTCTTCTTTAGTATCATTTTCCTGATGCATATGAATTCCTGCCCTTGAGGCTCTCTAGTCCCTGGAATAGTTTTTCCTTCAGGAAGCTGGATTTAACCCTTGGCAATGGACCTGTCTCTTGGAAACTAACACTGTTTCCTTCTGCTTGATCGTGAGAGCCTTGTTTTCTCCTTGGATTGTTTTCCTCTCAGCCCTCCTCATCAGACCAGCTCTCTCTGACTATCAAAACTTGCTTCATGGTTCTGAGTTCAATCCCAGCTACCAAAAAAACAAAGCAAAACAACAATAAAAAACTTGCTTAAACCAATCCTAAATTCTCAGTATTTTCAATATTGTACCCTCAATCTTGTTGATTCATGGATGACATACACCTGCTATCTCGGTTATCACTCACATTATAATTTGCACCCAGCCATAGAAAATTTGCAGTTTGATTTGGCTAAAATGTTATGGAAGTTGTACCAAGAGACCCTTTCTGCCTTTATTATTATTTTTTTAAAGCTGGTTTATGTGTAGAGTTAACTCTGTATAATGCTCTCGTACTTACCTTTTAGGAAATCAAAAATCTTTGGGTCTTTTAAGATAAAGGCAGCAAAATAGAAACTTCCAGATTGCTTTACTGAACCCCTCTTCCTTATACCCCCTCTGCTATGTTTATTTTAGCCAGATCTGCAGAAATGGTACATCACATTATTGTCTCTAGAGAGTCTGCCACCCAGTAGTGTTGATATATAATAGAAGGCATTCTGGAGTCTCCTTTTATCGGTGTCTTTCCAGCACCAACCAACTTCGCTTCTCTGTTGTTAAAATATTCACTTTTTTAAGGTCTTTTGGGTTTCTTTGATCATCTTCATCTGAAGATGAAGCAGGAAAGAACTCTTGCCCCCTTTGGCCTCTTATAGAATGCACAGTACATTGTGCCAATTTGTCATTGATCACAGTCTATCTTGTATTGTTAACTTTTGGTATCTGTTCCTTTATTCTTCCCTCACAGGCAGAGATATGCCCTGTGTAGCTCAGGGCCTACTTCAGTGACCTTGACTGGTTCTCAAGCCAAGTTAAGACGTGTTTTCCCAGCTGCCTGTGTCTGTTCTACTTACTCCTTATGCTTCTGCATTGTGCTTGGGAAGTACATGTTGCCTTCTGTAGAGTAGAACTTCTGGCATAGACAACGAGAGGTCTGAGGAGCCCAGCTGTTAAATGATCCCATACTGGGGCTGCACGGGTAGGGTAGGGTGGGATGGGTAAGCCTTTCTTAGTTTATCATAAATGACCCACACTGGGGAGACACTCTTTTCTCATTTTACCCAACCAGGATTTAGTGAGTAGTGTTAAAGCACAGCTTGCACTGGAGGAATTGGAGAATGGAGTTTGCCCTTAACAAGCTGTACACAATCTGTTAGCAGCTAAAAACAAACGTTCGTGGTTATAATTACCGTCATTTTCTCTCCAGGCTTGGATCGATTCCAGGTATTATAAGAGATGGTCCATTTCCTTTCCTTTGTCCTCTTAAGGCCCAGGCCCTGTGTCAGGTAGCTTTGGAGGGCAATTGTGCAGTAAAGATTCTCCTCCTGTATCAGTTCAGGACTCTTTTTACAGTTTGTACCTGTTAGTTCACTTGAACTTTGCTGTCCAAAGTTAGAAAGACCTTGCTGAGGTGTGGCTGCCTCTAAGAACACTGTTGAATTGGTGCCATGGTAACGTTTGCAAAGTAGCTACTGCTAGGATACAGTTCTGCCACTTATTACTTTATTTGCATATGAAACCTCCTGTTCCAAAGATGAAAATATACATGACTGCATATTCCAGTCTGGATAAAAGGGTGGTAGCTGACTGTTTAAATGAGCACAATAGGATTTTTCTCCCTGTGCCTGTAAGAACCAAGTCTGAGGCCCTTGTTTTAGCACCTTCCTCCTGGCCTAGAGTAGGTACAGGCATGGTGTGTGGACAAGATCTGGTGGGACTGTGGCCTATGTAGGTGGCAGAGCTTCTCCTAGGGAGATGACTTGACTTCTTGAGAGACAAGTTGAACTGATAGGCCCACAGGTCCTGAAGGGAGGACTCTTAATTCTTTCTAGACCTGAGTTTTTACTGTTGGTAGCTTCTGGCCTCTAGAAGTTCCCTGGAGAACTCTAGATGTTGGGGGTGTATGTGGTTCCTTTTAGTTTAAGACTCACTTTGCTCCTGGATCAGTGGTTTCCTTTGTTCTGTTTCGGATGAAAGAGCTATTTGTCCTTCTGCATTCTTTTCCTCTGCCTCTTACGCCTCACCTTCTCTTGAACACCAGACATACTGATAGTTGTAATTCATTGTGTTCACTTTAATTTTTTTTTTGATACTGAGGATTGAAGCTAGAACCTTTGGGACTGAATTACACCCCTGCCCCGTTTTTTATTTTGAGACAGGCTTGCCGAATTGCTAAGTTGCCCAGGCTGGGCTCAAACTTGTGTTCATCTTGCCACAGCTTCCCAGAGTGCTGAGATTACAGGCACACTGTATAACGTTCAGCTTATTGTGCTTACTCTTGATCAGTCCCTTATTCCTCATCCTCAGACCTCTTGATGGAATGAGTGGTGATTGATGTATTTTTCCATTAGTTACTACCAATAATTCTTAAGCGTATGTACTCTCTTTTTTTTTTTTTTTCGGTACCGGGGATCGAACTGGGGTCCTTGGGCTTGCAAGGCAGGCAGCGGAACCACTGAGCTAAATCCCCGGCCCCAAGCATGTGTGCTCTTAAAAGTAACCCCTCAGGGGCTGGGGATTTAGCTCAGTGGTTCCATCGCCTGCCTCACAAGCGGAAGGACCCAAATTTGATCCCTGGTACCAAAACAAAAACAAAAACAAAAACAAAAGTAACCCCTCAGGAGTGATGAGGACCTGGAAGACACCTTCTGCCTTTCTGCAGCATTACCGCTCTTGACTTGCCTCCATTGCCAGACTTCAGCAGCCTCTGCAACAAAAGTCCTCCCTTGTCTGGGGGCTCCGTATTTAATCTTGGTCTCTGTGCCCTCTAAGGGTCTCAGGGACACTCATTAACTCCTCAGCTAGTAGTTTTCCATTTGTACTTTCCTTCATACTGCCTTTGGTTCATGCTCTGTTACCTCTTCCTTCTCCCCCATGTGCTCTGGATTGTGCCCTTGTTCCCATTCTTCCTTCTAGCTGAGTGAACATGCCCATATAAAACTGAAAGCTGGTCCTCACAGCTCATCTCTTATTTAATTCTATTATACTTTTAATTGTAT